TTAGTAGACAGAGACCAAAGAAGACAGGAGAAATTAAAAGGGTGTACTGCTGTCACATCCCCTGCTGAGACATCCAGTTCAGAGTTAGCTCCAGATTATGACACAGAAAGTAGCTTTGACTGCAGTGTTCCCCTGTCTGTTGTGATAGAAGTCACTCACTTCTGAAAGATCTTTAAGCCATCATTCAGCTTCTTCTCCATTCCTTATTTGTACTGCCCAAGTAATTAATTTTCTGCCTGTAAATCTGTGATAGGAGGAATTACGTTCAAAAAAGGAAAATAGTTGCTTTCTGCTTCATTTATCTTAAAACTAAATCTGTAACGAGGTGTCACATTCCCTTCCTTCCTGCACATGTAGGATTGTCTAAAATAGCCACCCTCCTGTAACATTCAGTTATCTCTGGTGTAGCACCATTGCCTGTAGCAACACTGAGAACAGTTAAGATAAGACATCAGTGTTTTATCACCGTTTGGTCTAACCTTACTTAATGCAAGTCTGGGTGATGGAATAATAATAAAAATACCAACACCTTAAAGGACCTCTCCTGCCCTAAAGCTATTATTTCTACCAACAATGCAGCCATAGGAGAAGGCCCAACAATGGAAGATGTGGAAGAAGGACCCAGGTTTTAGGATTACATTGGGGCAGCAGGTATAAAGAGAGGTAAAAAAATGTAGCCAGATTTCATGTCCATTGTATTCTCATGTTTCTGCAATATCACTGTGAAAAATGAGAGAAAAGTGCTCCAGTAGTGTTAATCAATCATTAGTGACCTCCTGAGCTCTACAAAATTTATGGCCTTCATGGAGGTCTCTGGCTTATTTTTTTCAAGATTGCAAGGAGATTGTTTAATTTTTGCATTTCATGGTGGCTTGGTTCCCTGATTTCCCCCTGTGAGGGTAAAGCAACAGGCTGTGCTTGGGCAGAGCTTCTATCCTGAGAATGTCCAGACGTGCCCCATTCCCCTAATGAGATTATTTTTACCCTGTTTTAAGGGTATTTTAGGTCTTCGCAGAAATTAGGTTTCAGCTGCATACCTTATAGCAGGCATATATATATATAGATATATAGATATATGCCTATATAGGCATATATATATATATGCCTCTATATATATATATACTGATGTTGGCTGCATACAGTATTGCTCAAAGTATGTCAGAAATGTGTAATGTATGATAAACAGAAAGATGTTCTTGGGGTTTCAATCATCTTTCTTCTAAGTGAAGTACTCCAGGACTTCAGCAAAATGCAAATGTCTTGCATTAGAGAAGCTTAGCAGGCTTGGAATATGTATATCCCTATTTCCCTTCAGCCTGTGAAGCTGCCTTACTACCAAAGCTGAGTAAAGTATCTTTATTGAGTCAGTGTAAACAGCTCCTATTCAGCTCTCAGCCCTGCAATCACATACTGGCTGATTTTTTGTTAGTTTCTTTTTTTTCCTGCAGCATTTTTCTTTTTTGGAAATAAGAACTTTCTCATGTCTGTTGATTTCATCATACAAGAATTTAATTCAGCAGTCACCTTAAAAGGCCATTCATTTATATTTAGGGAGGAGCACATTTGCTTCCTTTGCAAAATGTGATGTCAAGGCTTATATTTTTTTCCCCTTCAGTTCCTCTTAAAATAGGAAATGCAGAAAGAGGAGGGTCCACAGTAGAACACAGCACACATTTATATGGTCACCTAAATGAACAGAACTGAAAGATTCATATGAAATGCCTCTTTCACTGAACGTGAGTACACCGGTTGTTCTTTCTGAGGGTCACAGGTATGGTAAAAAGGCACAACCTATTTTGGTAGGGTGCTGATTCAAGCTTCTTAATTAGCCAGCTAAGAGATCAAAGAGCAGAAGTCAGATGAAAGCTTGGTGCTGGTGTGGCTGCAATTCCTTTCCTAACTATCTGTTTCCCAGATTGCAGTGATGTCAGGCTGTATCTGTCACAATTAACATGGGGAGGAGGAGATAAAACAAGAGCTTGTTTACTGTAGGCTGCACCAAAACAGTTTTTGTATAGGTTTCTCCAAATGAAATCAGTTATTGTAGGTGAGTCTAGTGGCTCCAGGTATGATTAAAATTGTCTGCACATCTCACAAAGCCCTGTTTACAGCCAATTACAATTTCTTCTGAATTCAGCTCCTAGAACTGTTCAGAGCCGTCTGGCTCTACAGGTACGTACACCTAAGTACGCGTGGCTGTAATTTTCTGATAGAGCCTGAAAGGCTTGTTCAGGTCATAGGCATTTGGAGCAGAGATTTGGCCTTTGCAGTCAGGAGGGCTGGGGGGAGGAGGGAGAAGTGGTCTTGCTGAAAGAGCTCTTTTTTACACTCCTTCAGCAAATGCAGCCATAGGTCGCTCAGTCAGAGGGAGGCTCTTGAAGGTTTGTCACTCACAAATGTTCAACAGAAACCTTCACAGTTTTAGCAGCTCACCTCCCTAATGACTTGTCTTCCCTGAGCACACTTCAGTCCAAATTTAAGGTAACTTTTCCTCCTGTTTGGTTGTTACAAGGCTGGCTCTGTGGCAGGTTACACCTAATGTTGAGATCTGAACTGAGAGAGGGGCACAGCCTGGTTTTCAGCCAGCTTTCCCTGGCTAGCACTGTGGAGGAAAGGGGAAGCTGCTGCAGGGAAGGAACCTCACAAGAGTGGAAACTGGTCCTGGAGGTAGAAGGAGGAAGGATGAAAGTTTTAAATCGGAATCACAGATGGGGAGTACACTGATGATGAAGTAAAGTGCAAGGCAGAAGCTGGAAGGGACCACCAGACATTGGGAATACACACAGAGAACATGTGGTTGAACATGGCTGAGTTAACACAGGAGAAATGGAGAAAGGCAAAGTTAACACAGGAGAAATGGAGAAAGGCAATGGGAACACTCATGCTGAAACAAGGAGAGGGGGAAAGGTGCTGGTCCAAGAAACAAGCTGTACATGGGGCCATATCATATCATATCATATCATATATACTACTTATATATAAGGTTGTAGGAGAAGATTAGGACTGGGTGGGAAGTTTACAGATTGGAGGTAAGGACTGGATCAATCAGAAGTACAGAACTTAAAGCTGAGGGCAAAGAGAAGATGTGGTATGGATAAATGGCCCCTGGAGTTTAAATTCTGCCTTGGAGTCTGTTTCACAGTCCCAGAACTCCTTGCATTCCGGGCAAACTTTGTATATATTTATGCGGAAGCTCCTAATTTCCCTGGTGGTCAATGTGACTCGTGATGTGAGAAAGTGCAGTGTTCAGAGCTCTAACTAAAGTCAATGGGGGCTGTGTTTTTCATATATGGAAAAAAAAAAAAAATCACAAACATTAGGTGCTTAAAAGGATCAGATTTTAATATCTGACATTGGTTTCCAAGATTATTTTATTTCCCCCACCCTTTTTTTATCCACTCACCTCACAGGTTTTCTCAAAAAAATATTTGTGAAATACTCAAATTTTATACTGTTAAGTGCCAATAAACAAACATTTTGGGGAACAAAAAATTCTTCCTTCATTACAAAAGAATACAGCAAAGTCTGAAGCCCCATTAAACAACAAGTAGAACACAAATTATTGAACAGTTGTTAATTACATAATCAGGTCTTGTTCTGTGTACTGGCTGAAGCAAAGATACTCTGAAAATATAGTTTTGTATCATGCTAGTAGGAGCTGAGTCATCCATGGAAGTACCAGTTGGAAAAATATCATACATTTCTTCTCATGTGCTAGTAATAGTATAAATGCAAAGATTTAAAGCTTTCTTCACCTGTAGACCCCTGTAAACATTAGTGATGAGATGCAGATCCTTGAATAGTGACTAGACAACAGCTTGTTCTTTAGTTATTTCTGCTGCAGCCCTTGGAAGTCATCTGTGGAACCCTGGGGGTCTGCAGACCACATGTTTTAGACTGCTGTCTATAACTGTATAGCTCACAAAGGCAAAAAAAAAAAGCATTAAACCTAAGACTTGTCTGCTGGTTTTCTTTTTTTTTCTCCCTCTCTAGTGCCACTGACAAATCTTGCATTTCTCTAGTTGACTATTGTTATCGTACTCAAGCCTGAGTTAAGATCCCAGTGCACCCCTGCCAATGCAGTCCAGCTCCTAACATGCATCATGGAGTGCTAAAATCCAGTTTTAAGGCTCCTATACTTGATGTTTCCATTTCACTGCAAACTGAGAATGATATTTGATTCTGCAAAAACAAATATTATGAAGGTGTTTCCCCTTAGAGTTTGCGAACTTCTGTCACTGACATGTAAGGAGCTGTAATTACAGCAGTGTTCCCTTCCATCCACCACAGCTGTCTCCAGCAATGTTCCCCCTCATTAGGAAACTATCCTATAATTTAAGATTAGAGCTCAAGCTTAAGGCAGTAATTGCCCCTTTCTGTCTGAGTCCTTATAGAATTTACCTTGTCAAGATGAGGCGTCTGTTGTGCTTAGACCTTTCCACCTTTCAGAAACAGGTCTTTACTTGAGTGAGCTTCATTTTGCTTTGCCTGGTTTGCTCCAGCAGTTCCCCCAGTGCAAATGCTATGAGAGCTGGCTGTAGATAGCCCCGGCTTCAGGAAAGCCAAGCCTTTGATACTCTTGATAGTGTTAAAACCACTGGGGATTTTTTTCTCACCATCTGACATTCAGCTTTTTATTGCATGGGTGACCTGTGTCACTTTCCCATTAAGTTATTCTGGCTGTGAAAATTACGGTAGAAGAATTGAAAGTGATGTGAAACTATAGGTTTATTCTGTTCCCCATTCCAAATAGCTGCTAATTTCTGGAGTATGGAACAAGACACATTTATCTTTATTCATTACCCTTTAAAATGACATATATTTTAAAATTTTGTTAGTCCCATCTATGTGATATATAAGATCTTCCTGATCTTATTCATTACCCTTTAAAATGACATATATTTTAAAATTTTGTTAGTCCCATCTATGTGATATATAAGATCTTCCTGAGCTCATAATTTGTCACTGCT